TATTTATTGTTCTTGTTTTTTTCAACTTCATTTGTTATTTGTATTTCAAATGACTTTTTAATTTCAAAACTAAAAATAGCAAGAAATTTTGAAATAGAATACAGAAAATATTATACGATGAGCTAAACTCTCCAGTACTTAGATTAGACTCGCAGTTGAATGCAAACCGGGTCTGAAAGGAAATAACATATGGACCCGGACCCGGGTGGTATTCATTTTCTGGACCTGGACCCAATCGGGTCCAGACCCGGGTCCGGGTTCGGGTCTGGACGGACCCGCTACCCTCTAATTTGTACAGGTCAGCATTTAGGATCATTTTTGTTATCATCCTTGTATATGATAGTCTTCACCAATTTCCTCCATGCAAAAATTTTAGCAAAATCGAAGATTTTTTTCCCAATACACTTTGATGCGCTTCATCCAAAACTAGAATAGAAGTTTTTTAAGAGCCTCCTCAGAAAATCGAATTTTTTTCGAAAAATATCGAAATTGAGTTTTCACCATAGGAAGATGCAATAAAGCTTCCTCTTTCAGAGTATATATAGATTTTTGGAAAATGACCCAATTTTCAGAGACTTATCAGATCAGACTTTGATTACGCTAGCATATTTTCTGAGAAATTTTCGTAGTTTTTTTAAAGTTTTTCAGTTGTGCAAAAACTGCGTTGCTATTTGAATTATCATTGAATAGAACAACATTTTAATATGATTTTTTTAAAATTCAAATGATAAAAAAAGCCAATTCTAAAACTTTCAAGTTTTTCTCAGAATATAGTTTCCAATCAGAATAATTGGAACTCCTCCCTCATTTTTCGAGCTATCATCAATATTTTTTTTTGTTTTAAAGGTCTCACTGAGAGTAAACTTTTGTCCGAACGGATTTTAAAGATGGTTCTTGGGATGAGAAAAGTGGGATCTACTGGCGTTGAACCACCATGTTTTATGCTAATTTTAAGACCCTTGTATTAAAATGCTCATAAAAAACGAACAAGACGGAATATAAAAATTTTGTTCTGACAAAAGTTGCGTATTGACATGAACTTTAATTTGAAACTAGTCCAAGCTCTCTATCTCTTGTTATGACGAAGTTATATAGATTCTCTTGAAGGCCAAAAATGACCCATGAATTAGCTGAAAATCCGGTCTAGTGTAACCAATCGAACTAAAATTTTTAGCAGAAGCGTATCTCTCCAAGATCACTCGTCCCTGAAAATTTCAGCATGAAAGGACCGTCCAAAGTGGAAAATCGTTTCTGAGGGAGAGACCCGTTAAGTAGTCCTCACCCTGTAGGTGTATGAACACAATAGTTATTGTATTTCCCTGCTAAAAACCTCCTATATCTGCCGCATCACATCCTTTCAGTAGAGAGTCGGTGACGTTTGCGTCGCGTTACCTTGTACTATAGATAAATAAAATCAAAATTGACTTTAACTGAACGAAAACCAAGGATTTGTCACAATATAAGAACTCAATATAAGCTTTAAAGATCCGAAAAAAAAGTCAGATTGAGAATAAGTGACATATAATTAAATAAAAAAAAAAAACAAGTCAAATATGTATAGATGATATGTATAATAAATTGTAAAATAAATCTTAATTAAAAAGTGTAATAAGTATAAAATAGTTAATAATAAAAAGTTGTATGAAATAGATATTTATTTAATGAATATTGTTGATAATAAGTATTTACTTAAATATGCTAAACAAGAGAATATTTATTCATTTATTATTATTAATCATAAGAAAAAGTATTTATCCAGTTATTATTTATTAAAGAAAATTATCATAAAACTTCATTCGACTTACGATATTAATCAGTTTTCTTAAATAAATATTTCACTTTATTTTCTTTTTTCTTTTTTATCAAAGACAATTCTTAATTAAGTTTAATAAAAAATAAATATAAGAACAATTCTTTTTTAATAAATAATATATTAAATAGAATTTTATTTATTTTCATGATTATTAATTAACTATAATATATTTATCTAACCTTGTTTTTATTATTCATTTTAAATTGTTTATTAATATATGTTTTACAAAAACTAAATTAACTACATATATATATATTATTTAATTAATTAAATCATTAATGAAAATATTTATTTCGAAGAATTTATCATTTAAATAAAGAGATTGTTTTTGTTCTTATTTATCTTATTGAATTGATTTTGTTCGAAATAAAAAACAAAAAGAAGGTTATATCGACTATTTTTTACATAATAATGATTTTCCTCAAAAACAAAAATCAATGAAAATCTTATTATTAATATAATTAAAGTTTTCTTAACTTGAACAGAAAAAAAATGAAAATTTGTTCGAATGTTTATTTATTGAATTTCTATGAAATAAATATAAAATGAAATCCGATTTCGATAAATATATATTTTAAAATAATCATAGAAAAAGATTGATTTTTCAATCAAGATAATAGAACGAGAAAAATTCTTTTCGACAAATTCATTTTCATATTTTATCATATTGAAAAATTAAGATAAATTTAATTTTTGTTTTTTTTTTCCTCGAAATATAATATTAAAATCAATATTTAACTTATTTATTTTCAACCAATCGATAACAATTTAAAAAACGAAAACGATTTAAACATGTTTGTTTAATTAATAAAATGAAATTCTTTAACTAGTTAAGATTAATAATAATTATATTCTTTATATTAAAATGATATTGAGTTATCATCTTAAATAAAACTTATATTAATTATATTTTATTTAAATTGAAATAATTATTATTAATAATAACAATTGAAATAAAGCGACATCTTGTTTAATTGTTAATAAAAGAAAAAATAAAAAATAAAAAAATCAAAAAAATATATTGGTAATCGATAGTTGATATTATTTATCTGAATGACTAGAAATAAAACGGTTGATCGAAGTTTGTCAAATAAAAAGAGGGTTTTTTTTGTTAAAGATTAACAAATAACTGTCTCTTTCATTGATTACAGCAAAACGCAAAAAAAACACACAAGTTGTCATAATGAAGGTTTTCTCTCGTTCTTGTTCTATGATGTTGTCGATGGTGCAATCGAGCAAATGAGTTGCTGTCTCGCTCGATGCCGCTATCCGTGTTGACAAACAATTTCTCTCTCGTTTCTCGTCTCTCTTCATCGTCATCGTCGTCATCGTAATCAATGTATTGCAAATTATATTAGGTGGTGCCCGTGCCTTTTTCTTTTTTTTTTTATCCGTGCATCCATTTCTTTTTCTTTAACATACAGAATAAAACTAGTCACTGACCCATTTGAGTAAGTTTCTCTTTTTCTTGCCGAAAGAACGTTGTCTTTCACGATTCGCTCATCGATCGTCAACAAAGAAAAAAAAAACTAAGAAGAAGACGAAGAAGAAGAAGAAGAAGAAGAAGAAGAAGCAGAAGACGAATAATTTAATCGGCTTCCATCGATTTCTAATTAGACAATGGAATATAAGATAGGCTTTTTTTTCTCGTCATTGTGACAATGTCTTTCTATATTGAATGAATAAGAGAAAAAAAAAACTCGTCCGAGTTATGTTGATCATTCGAAATAAAAGTTCTCTGTTAAGTGTCTCGTGTTACATGATTAAACTAGTCGGTGTGCCGCCGCCGCCGTTCGTTATTCAACCATCGTTTTGCTTTAATGAAATGACCAGCACGCCCTGAATATGAGAGAGAAAGAAAAATAGTTGAGTTTAATGGAGCGACGCGGCATGATTGAATAAAATCGAAGTAAGAATCGTCAAACGAACGACTATACACATACACACATACACATACAGACCAACGACGATTATAAATTGTCAATGATCTCTCTTTCTCTCTTCTATTCTATTCTACACCATCTTCTGTACTTCACCGGCAACAAGCACACAGAGTCATAATGACTATCGGGCAGAGAAGAGAGAGAGAGAGAGAGAGAGAGAGAGTAAGGAAATTTTTGCGTTCTTTCTCTCTCGTAGCTATTCACTTGATTAGGTAATCATAGATAGAGACAAAGCTCGATGTTGTGTTTTTTTCTCCCGTTTATTTCTTTTTTTCTGTGTATATATGTGTGTGTGTGTGTGTGTGTGTCTCAACACCATCGATCCAAATGAGAATGAGGTGGTTCGACTGTAATAACGAAAGGTACATATGAAGAAGTATTCGAATGAGTTGAGAGTGTATGCTGTGTTTTTAATCATTCTTGTTCTGGTCCCGAACCGAACAGTGTCGAGGGGCAAGCAGTCGTCAACAAACGGAACTCTCTTTTTTCTAATCACATTCATCGTCCTTATTCATTAAATTACACTCTCGGTTCTTTCTAGGAAAAAGAAGAAGAAGAAGAAGAAGAAGAAGAAGAAGAAGGCAGAGAAAAAGCCAGTAGTAAAAGCAGTAGCAGCAGCAGCAGCAGCAGCAGCAGCCAGCAATTAGACAACAACAAGTCTTTCTCTCTCTCTCTCTCTCTCTCTCTGTGTCTCTGTTCTGTGTTGCTGCTGTGTGATTTGATTTGAGCAGCATGGTTGCCTGCCTGAGCTCAATGCAATAATCATTCTCGCTGTTGCTGTCGTCTCTCGCTCGTTAGCGCACTCGGCTGCGTGAGCAGCCGCTATTGGATTTGCAAGTGCACGGCGCGCCGTCATTCTTTTGTTGTGCCACTCGTTCCTTTTTTTATCTTTTCGCTCGCTCGCTCTGGATTCGAGTAATAATAATTGTAGAAGCAAAATAAGAAGAGAAGTGTAATCATCACTGTACGATATAAGACATTTCTATTCGTTTTCTCTAGTCATTCGTTTTTTGACATTGATGACCTCTATTAACCAACCTTTTTCAAATATTTTATTTAAAAAATAAAAAATTTTCTTTTTTTTCTTTCGTTTTTTATATTTATTTAAATGTTTCTTTTTTTTTTGTTTCTTTAATATTGATTTGATTAATTTTATTTGAAAAGATAAAAAGAAAAACGAATTTTAAAAATGAAACAATATTCGAGCTTTGATCGTTTGTTAAATAAGTATTCTAGATGATGTCATGAGTGAACCATCATCAACACCAACGAACAACACCCTTAATGAAGTAAACATTTATTTATTTTAGTTTTTTTGTTTTAAATAAAATAAAATATTGATTTTAGTTAATAACTGTGACTGAACAATGTTTGTCGCCTGATAATCGTTCAGTACATGTTCACTCGAGAAATTCCTCTAAAACACTTAAATGTCCAAAATGTAAGCATTATTATTTTTGTTTTTTTTATAGAAGAAAAAAAAAAGGTTTATTTAAAAAAAAAAAAGGTAATTGGCATTATAAATACCAAGAAACATTGGAAATTCATATGAAAGAAAAACATCAAATGTTAACAAATTGTGATGGAAATGGAAATGGAAATAATTTGAATGAAAATGAAACAAATTGTTCATATTGTTTATCAAATAGTGTTCATCCACGTTTAGCTCGTGGTGAACAATATCCATGTGGATTTAAACCATATAGATGTGATTTATGTCTTTATTCAACAACAACTAAAGGAAATTTAGCAATACATATGCAATCAGATAAACATATGAATAATTGTAGAGATTTGTCTTCACCATCTATTCAACAACAATTAACATTTACATCTTCACCTGACAATTCTTCATTTGATCAAACATCTCAATCACAAGGTTTGTCTTTCACTTTTCAGTTTTTTTTTTTTTGTTTTTTATATGTTTATCAATATAGATGATTATTAAGATTTTCATTTATTTAATCTCTTATATTTATTTCTAAATATGATTTGAAATTGAATTGACATTGAATTAGTTAATATATTTAGTTTTTCAAAAATGATTTATTTCATCAATTGGTTTTTTTTTATTTTTAAAGAATTTAAAAATAATTCTTGATTATCAATTATATCTTTAAATAAAAATAAATTTATTACATAAAGAAACAAAAATTAAATGATAAAGAAAGAAAAAAAAAAAAAAAAGAATAGAAAAGAAAAGGAAAAAAAAATCTATGATTTATTTTCTTTGTCTTAGTTGTTGCTTGTCATTAATCGTGTTTGGTCGCGTTAATATAAAAATCTGTTACATCTATTTGTGTCTTCTATCGGTGAATGTGAAAGATGTGAATAGTCGTCGTTCTCTTTTCTTGATTCTCAAAGCAGCTTCGACATACTCTCGTTGTTATAGGTCGCTTATTAGCGGATGGTTATGCTTCAGATCGAAAGCGATATTCGCATTGAGTGTCGATGCCAGTTTATATGTTAAGAAAGAAAAAGAAGAACGAAATCCATTAGGAATGAGGCGACAGCCGTCGAGAAAAAGAGAAACAGAGAAGAAATAATTTATGTAACAATCTCTCTCGTTTCTCTCTATTCTGCCTAATCGTCGTCGTCGTCGTCTTCGCGTCTTCGTCTTCGTCGTCATCGTCGTCGAGCTGCCGCTCATTATGGGTAATTGGCAATCAACGGTCTCCTTTTCCTCTATCCAAACGAGATTCCAAGACATTGCATCTTTTCTTCTCTTTTTCTCTCGTTTTTTTCTCTTAGTATCATAGAACTGACTTGTTACCAGTCGACTCTCTCTCTCTCCCTCTCTCTCCCTCTTTAGATGGCTCGATCGTTAGTTAGTTAATATACATGTTGGGTGCAACGCAAAAGATAGAACACACACACACATATATATATATATATATTTATTATTCATTGATTGCTTTAGTTGTAGTGAGGCATTAAATGGAAATATTTTTATTTTAGAAATAAAAATGGCAAGCGAATGTTCATCTATTGAAACATATTCATGTCCACTTTGTCCTCAATCAAATTTCAATAGAATGGTATTCAATTAAAATAATTATTTTAAATCTACTATATATATATATATATGATATTCTCTTGTTTTCTGTTTTTCGAAGGAATCATTGAAAGAACATTTATGTTCAATTCATAATTGTAGTCGAGATGCATTGAATCGATGTTTATCATTAATCGGAGATTCAGGTATTCAATTCTATTATGGAAAATTACACATTTACAACAATTCATTAAGCATTTTTATTTAGAATAAAATCATTGGAAAGATCTTTTTGACTTTCATTCTAATAAATCGATATTCGAATGAAGTCATTGAAAGAAAAACGTCTCTCTCTCTCTTTGTAAAATTGTTTAGATATAGTCTTTTTAAAATGATAGTTTCGTTTTTACGTTGAAAATCTTTCGATGATTAAATAATGATTTATTTAAAGGGAAAAAAAATGAAATTCTTTTAATAATGGTTAGTTACGGAGAAAAAAAAAACACATAGTGAAAATGATATAATAAATATGTTAAATGAATAAATCCAATAAGAAAAAAATTTTTGTTGATTTGAATATAAAAAAAAAAGTGTTGTAAAGGTTTGATAGTTTGTAATGTAATGTCTACCTTTAATTAACGATAGAATTGTATAGAATAGAGAAAAGAAAAGAAGAAAAAAAAACAGCGAAGAAAAGAAAAGAGAGGTCAGCCTAGAAGGAGATGAGGAGGAGAAAATAAATTAGGTTGATGATCTCTATCCAATGGTGAACCAACAGATGAAGAATGAAAAAAGAAAAAAAAAAAAAAAAAAAAAAAAGAAACGAAGTGAGCGAACAATTACTAATTTCATTTATATGTTATTGGTCGTCGTTGTCGTTGTCGTTGTCGTTGTCGTCGTCGATGAGGGTTCGATGTCATCAACATTTTATTCTGTTCGAAGTGGTGATGGTGGTGGCCTCACAGACAACGCAAAATACCCGAGATTACCCCCTTTGCGTTCTCTTTCTTAATGAATGAAAAGAAAAAAAAACGAGAGAAAAAGACGACGATGAAAGCAACCACATTCATTCGCCTTCATTAGACAAACTTATTGACTTGTTTCCCTTCTTCTTCTCTCTCTCTCTCTCTCTCTCTCTTTCCGTTTTGTTCTAAACATCAAAATTACACTTTGCTTTTTTTTTTTCAATGATTTACTTTTTTTTTTTATTTTTATTATTTTTTACATAATAACATATAAAAAAAAAAACGAAGGGTCTTGATAATCAGAGTTGATTAGAGAATTGCAAAGCGCCCTCTTTTATTCGTTATTCTTGTTCGAGAGAGAATCAACTATTTAAATAGATACGATTTTATTTTGTTAAAATCTCTCTCTTGATATTGTAAACAAAAATAAATATATGTTATTTATTTAAACGAACAACAACAAGAAAAAAAACAAGAACAATAGTTATTCTTTTGTTTTTTATTATATATTTTAAGGATTTTCATCAATGGCCGAAACAAATTCTTCTGATGAATATCGTTGTCATTCTTGTCACAATAAAACATTTAAAGATTTTTATCATTTATTAAATCATTTTCAAGATGAAAGTAATTTTAGTTTTTTTATTTTATTTTTTAATATTATTTTAATTCTAATATAAAAGATCATATTGATGAAGAAACAACAAAATCAGTTGGTTTATTATGTTGGAAAAAAGGATGTAATCAATATTTTAATTCGTTAAATAATCTTGAAAAACATTTTCGTGAAATTCATTCAATTAATTTAAATGATAAAAATTCGTTAGATATATCATTAATAAATAAAGATATTAATAAAGAAGATAAAGATATAAAAGATATATTAAATGAAAATAAAATAAATTCATCATCTATTGGAACACAAATAAATTTTTTATCAAAAACTCGTGAAAGATTAATATCTATTGGAGAAGATATTGCTTTACATTATTTAGAAAATTTATCGAATTCAAATACAAATTCAAATTCAAATTCAACATCAAGTTTAAATTCAAATTCAAATTCAAAATATTTAAATGAAATAAATTGTGATTTATGTTTTAAAAAATTTTCAAGTTTATCAAGATTAAAAGTTCATTATGAAGATATACATTCAATTGTATTATCATCACGTGCTATACAACATTGGATTTTTCTATTAGAAAAACTTCATTCATCATCATCTTCTTCTTCTTCTTCTTCTATTAATTTAACATCATCAAATAAATTAAAAAGACAATCATCATCATTAAATGATTTAAATCAAATTAAAAAATCTCGTTCAAATTCAAATTCAAATATTAATTCCAATGATAATAATAATCTATCATCATCATCATCTTGTTTTATTTATACACATTGTCGATCACCAACTATTCATTCACATTCATATGATTTAACACATAATAAACGTCAAAGAACACGTATTACTGATGAACAATTAAAAATTTTACGTTCATATTTTAATATAAATAATAGTCCAACTGATGAACAAATTAAATTAATGTCAGAAAAAAGTCAATTAACAACGAAAGTTATTAAACATTGGTTTAGAAATACATTATTTAAAGAAAGACAAAAAAATAAAGATTCACCATATAATTTTTCAAATCCTCCATTACAAACAAATAAAATTGATTTAGATGAATATCAAAAAACTGGAATTATTATTAAAAAAACATTTAATGATTCAGATTATTCCGATAATGATTTAACATCAAATGATGAACAAGATATTCTTCTTTCTGATGAAGATTTTTATGATTTAAATAAATTAAATCATATTCAACAATTAAATCAACAACAATCACAATCACAATCACAACAACCACAGATTTCAAAACAACAACAACAACAACAACAACAACAACAACAACAACAATCCTCTTCATCATCATCATCATCTCGACGTGCTAATCGAACACGTTTTAGTGATGAACAACTTCGTCTTCTTCAAGATGCATTTGAAGGAAATCCTTATCCAAAAGATGATGATTTAGAAATTCTTTCTGATAAATTAAAATTAAATTCTCGTGTTATTGTTGTTTGGTTTCAAAATGCTCGACAAAAAGCAAGAAAATCTTATGAAAATAATTCTCCAAATGAAAATACAAATCAACAAATTCAATATAAACAAGATAAAGATGATGGATATTCATGTAAAAATTGTCATAAATTATTTCAACGTTTTGCTGAATTAATGAAACATGCTAAACAATGTTCATCACCTTGTTTAATTAAAAAAACTTCAAATGATGATAATAATAATAATTCAAAAGAATTAATTCAATTAAATCGTTCATCATCATATGATATGTTAATTAAAAATAGTCTTCCTTTTTCAATATCATCATCATTATCAACATCAACATCAACATCATCATCAAATAAAAAAGATAATTATTGTGAACAATGTGACAAATATTTTCATTCAATTAGAGATTTTAATGAACATCAAACATTCCATATGCAAGCTTTTATTAATGCTGCTACTCTTTTTCCACTTGCTCCTTTTCATCCAGCTGCAGCTGCTGCTGCTGCTGCTGCTGCAGCTATGGCTGCTTTTTCATCACAATTATTTCAAAATAATCAAAATTTTGTAAGTTTTTTTTTTTTTCAAAAAATAAATAATATTTCTATTTCTATAATATAGCCAATGGTTGGATTAGATATAAATAATTCAAATGATATAAATAAAACAAAAAAAAAAAAAAGTAGTCAAAGTTTATCATCATTTGGTTCCGATTCGTCAAATGATATTGAAGAAGGTGATGGTGATGGTGATGGTGAAGATGAAGATAATAATGATGATGATGTTAATGATAATGATGATGATAATGATGATAATGATGATAATGATAATGATAATGATGATGAAGAATTATGTGGTGATGAATCAAATGATGAAAATAAAAAACTTTCATCACAAAAACGAAATCGAACAACAATATTACCTGAACAACAAGATTATTTAATGTCAAAATATTCAATTGAATCAAATCCATCAAGAAAAATGTTAGAAGATATATCAGAAGAAGTTAAATTAAAAAAACGTGTTGTTCAAGTTTGGTTTCAAAATACTCGTGCGCGAGAAAGAAAAGGAAATATTAAATTTGATTCAAATATTAATTTAAATTCTTTAGATAATCAACAACAACAACAACAACAAATAATAATTAATAAAAAATGTCTTTATTGTTCATTAACATTTAAATTAAAATCTACACTTGATAATCATTTATTATTAAAACATTCAGATAAATATAAAAAAAAAGAAGATTTATTATTAATTGATTATGATTTATTTCCATCAAATAATTTTAATTTAAATGATGAACTTCCACTTGATTTATCAAAATCATCTTTTAAAAATGATTTAAATGATAATAAAATTGAGAATGATTATTTAATTAATGAATCGAATGATTCAACTGATCAATCAATTGATGATATTAATCTTTTTTATAAATCTAAAGATAAATTTATTTCAAATGGAAATTTATCACCAAATAATATTCAACAACAACATCAACAACATCATTTATCATCAAATAATTCATTAAATGGACAAAGAAGATTTCGAACACAAATGACTCCATTACAAATTAAATTAATGAAAGCGATTTTTCTTGAATATAGAACACCAACAATGTATTTATTTTTAAAGAATAAGATTTTTATTTTTCTTTTTAATATTTTTTTCGTTTAGGCCTGAATGTGAATTATTAGGAAAAGAAATTCAATTACAAAAACGTGTTGTACAAGTTTGGTTTCAAAATGCTCGTGCTAAAGAAAAGAAAAATCCTAATTTTTTTAAATCCGATCTTCCAGATGAATATCAATCAACAAATGATCAATGTAAATTATGTCAATGCAAATATACATTACAAAATCCTCAAAGAGTTATTTATATTATTTTTATATATATATTTATTTATTTATTTATTTATTTTTCTAGGATCATTTATTTACATCAAAACATATTGAAAATATTCGTTCGATTTTATCTAAACAAATAGGAAATGTTTCAACAACAACACCAACACCAACACCAACAACAATAACAACAACTAAAGATGATTTAATAAAAAAGAACAGTATAAATAATAAAATTGATATTGAGAATAATTCAAATCAATCAGTATTAGATAAATCATCGAAAGATGAACAAAATCAATTAATGTCTTATATTAATTTAATGCATCTTATGCCAATTGGTTTGTTTTTATTTAAATCTTAAATATATATATATTCATTTATTTGTTAATAATAGGTATTGATCCATATAATTATGGTTTAATGGATCCAAATATACATGGTACACCATTATTTATGTTACAATTACCTGAAGAAGCTTTAAAAAAAATTCTTTCATTAAGTAAATCCGATGCTCATTTAACACGTGCTCAATATACTCAAGATGGAAAAAATCTTCAAGATTTATTTGATCATTCTTATCATCAAGTTGATTATCAAATAATTGATGTTGGTTATGCTTGTAAAAGATGTTATCTTGTTTGTAAGTTTTTTAATATCTTATTTCTTCTTCTTTTCTTTTTGAAAAATTCTTTACAATTTTTAAATAAGGAAATCATAAAAGCTCAATAATGTTTAGAATGTCGAATAAGATATATTATTATTATTATTATTGAATTAAATGATATTTTATTTTAAAATGAATAAATATTATTAATTTGTTTGTTTACTGTTTAGTTATTGTCGAATATCTTGTTCATTGATGAAAATAATTTCATTCAATCGAGTTTTCTTTTTCTTTTTTCTTTTGATTATTTATTATTTAGAAACAAAAACAAAAAAAAACAAGAAGTTTTCATTTAATAAACAAATGTTTATTAATAATTTATTCAATATGAAATAAAATATTATTTCCATAAATAATTTCGTTTTTTTGTTTTTATTAATCGACCATTGCCGGTTTTGTTTTTATTGAATATTTATTTATTGAATAATAATTAAATCGATGAAAAATTTTATTAAATATTATTATTTAATAGACAATATTAACATTTTAATCATTTATAAATAAATTAATATTATTTTATTGAACAAACCAATTAATATTTATTAGAACAATAACATCTTATATTTATTATTCTCCTTGTTTAAACAACAACAACAACAAAAAAAACCGTCTATCTTTATGATAATAATTCAATAATCTATATACCGACATATTTATTCAACATTGTCTTTAAACGTTATTGTTTTAAAATAATTTTATCATCATCTATTTAATAATATCATTTAAATTAACATTCGATAAATATTCAATAAAAAAAAGAATCGGTCGATTAATAAAACAATAAAAAAAATGATAAAACGATATTCATTTGTTTATCTTCGTATAGAATTAAAAAAAAAAGTCATATGTTTATATAATCAATGAACAAGATATTGACAAATTAAAATCAACCAAAGCAAATCATATTGATACTATTCAAATACTGGATGGTACAAAACTCATGCAACCGAACTCAATATTGAATATTTCAATTAAGGCTTAAGCAAACGCAGTTATTTTTCTTACCAGTGATAGAAGCATCTACAAGCTTTATATCCATAAAGACATGTTTACGGTGGACCCTTCGTCAAGTATAACTATTGATCTCAACAAGATAAATTTTACTTTTTCACATATAGAATAATAAAACAATATACTTAAAAGAAGGTTTATCTAGACTTGTCTTTATGGATATTCAGCTTAGCCGTAATGAAGATATTCAATTTTTATTTTGACAAACTAACTTATAGGCTACCATGCATATCGTCAAAAAGTCCCCATACCAAGAAAAACTTAAATATCTACGCTACGAATCAAGCAAACGATCTGATATTTTTACCAATAATAGAAGCATGTTCACACTTTAAATCTATACGAACAAGATTAGGTGCAGTCTTTATTAAATAGCATTAATGACCTCAACAAAACAATTTTACTTTTTCACAGATAGGATAGAAAACAATATATTGAACAAAGGATTTCTCTAGGTATGTCCCTATGAATATAAAGCTTGAACATGCCTCTATCATTGATAAAAGAGTCATATCGTTAGATTGAGCCATTGTCGACATATTCAATTTTTTTCGGCAAAGTGACTTTTTTTCTTTCTAACTGTGAACAAGTAAAATTTTTCTTATTGAGATCAATAGTGATATTTAACAAAGGGTCTTCCTAGACGTGTCTTTATCGATATGAAGCTTGTAGATGCTTCTATCACTGGTAAAAAAAATGATCGCGTTTGCTCAATCGTTAATTGATATATTGAAATTTGAGTTCGGTTTCAGTAAGTTTTTCGCCACCCTGTAATATAATCTGAATATAATAAATGAAATAATATTCAGATTTATTTAAATATTTAATATTAAAAATATAATTGATTAATAATAATCTATTTGAATAGTCAAATGAAAATAATTTTCTAGGTGATTTTAATTTTTCAAAGATACGATTGAAGACAGAATTTCAATAAGTATATTTTGTATAGAAGTCAGCGTCAAAGTTAAATTAATTGATATACGTCAAATAGTTAAACAGTCATAAGAGATTTTTCAAATATTTTTATTAATATAAGAAACAAAAAAAAAACGGAGATATTATTTCATATGACATTAATTAAAAAGTAAATGATTAACGATTGACTTGATATCTTTATGCTTCTATAATCCGATAAATATAGTTTAATAGTATAGAAATTTGTTTGTTACTTATAATGATGATATGAACATCAATCTTGATCTTAAAGACAAATAGTTTCTTCATTATCATAAAAAATGTTAAGATGTTTGATTATTTATTTGTCTATTTATTTAATAATTGACTTTTGTCAGATTATCTCAACTAAATATAGATAGATAAATCAAGAAATCTAATATATATCGACCAGTTGAGTTTTAGTTCTGATCTGAACTAGAGAAGCAAGTCAATTATTTATTTAATATTTATTATACGAACTATATTATTCTATAGGTTAAGTTTGAGATTTTATCAAAAAATAGTCTAGTTAAAAACTTGTCAAGGTAACTGTCTGATTTCTTTCTTTTTTTTTGATAATAAGAGTTATGTAAATCACCAAAAAACTAATTTAAGAATGCCTATAGATACGTTGTTTATTTAAATAAACTAATATATATAAATGTTTAGGGCCATTATATGAATCATGTCGATGTCATGCATTAGTTTGTTGGCAAATATCTGGATCAACATTACCTCAATCTATAAAATCAAGTGAAGATTTAAATAATTTATCAGGTTATATATTTAAAATCGAACAATTAACATATCGATGTTTATTATGTAAAACATCATATTCAACAACAATTGAATATGAAAAACATACAAAAGATGATATTCATTTAAAAAAAAAACAACTTTCAATTTCAACTATTCAAGAGAATGATTCATATTAAACAACAAAAACACATACAAAACATGTTCGGCATCGTGCTTTTAGCATTCCTCCATTTATCGTCTCTTTTTTTCTTTTTTCTTTTTTTCGTTTTTTTTCTTTTTTGTATTTGTTTTTGTGTCTGTGCGTAGCGTTCTCGCTCGCTTCCATTATCAACTAATTGAGTAGAAACCACTCGAAAACATTTATTTCTTTTAATATTATTCAACAAAACAAGACAATATCAACAATTATTTCTTTTCAATTCAGAAAATTTTTATAAAATTTCGTTTTTTTTCCGGATATATTTAAATTAATGTTTCCCTTTGTAAATTATTCGATTTGATAAAAAAAAAACACAGAAAAAAAAAAAGAAAACAATTGAGTATAGTTAATCAATGAAAAAAAAAGCGCTAATAAATAATATTGATTACTGTTAAGATAATGAATATATTGTCATTATAAATATTGATAAAAAATTAATTGAATAGATTAGATTAAATCAAGCTTGTATAGATATTAACATATAGAAATGAATTATTTCTTTTTATATTATTATTTTATTATTATTATTGACAATTAACACAAATAAAACTAATCATTTATAATCAACACAAATAATATTAACAGATAACATATTAAATAATTAATTCAAATAAATATCTTGAATTTATTTAAAAGAATTTAAATAAATTTAAAATTTTTTTTTCTTAATCAATGATTAAACACATAAATGACTTTTTTGTTTTTGTTTTTAAATATGATTTTATTTTATATTTATTATTATTATGATTATTATTAATTACATATAAAAACTTATTTTAAAAATAATCTATTCTTTATTTTCGCTTTTATTTTTAATTAATTCGATTTACTTTTATTCATATATATATATATATATATTACTCATTTTTTTTTCAAACATTTACCTTAATCAAATAGATCAATCTATGAAAATAAACGAATATAAATATGTATTTCATGATAATCATCTCGTTTTTTTTTCATAGAACGACAATAAACGAAAAGCAATATTCACATTATTTAATTAGTTTAAATAATATAAAACATGATAAACAACTAATTTAAATTTATCAACATAGTTGACATTATTGAGAAATGCTTTTCAATGACCTATATCTACATGTAATTTTATCAATATCTTCAATAATGATGCAAACGATATTCAGATCCCAATGGCTAACAGGCCACTTTTTCAGCTTGACCTAGTCTACAGGTTGGCTTCTTTAAATCCATTACTTTTACAACTTTGTATTAATCGATGATGTCAGTTTTAATTATTTATTGAATCCATTTTCGTGAAAAGAATAAAATATTGGTCAACAGCTCTTCGAAAATAGGAATCGGGAATGAAACAGTCACCGGCTTTTAAAAAGCTTTGAAACTGGAAAAGTGATCTGAACTGTGAAAAAATACCGAAGCCTTTTTAAACCATCAAGTAGATCCTGATATCTTAAAATTTGTTTCTAGATATCTTTCTTGTATTCTTGGAATCTGGATATCAGTACATATGCCAACGATTGTTATTTTGACATGCTGAATTCTCTGAAGTCTTCAATCTCAAATATTTAACAGTGAGTTTCTCTCAAAATATATCGAAAGGTTTATGTTTGTCTTATGTTTTATCACAATTGATGTTGAACGTGATAATTTGGGAAACGAACTGGAGAACTGCTTTTTTTCTCATTTCTATTAACAGAAACTGAAAATTAGTGGCGGAACCAGGATTTTGTCCTAGGGGGAGCTGAGCTCCACATTCATTATCCAAGGTTTGAGCAAAGTAGTACAAGATTCTTCTTCGAACATTTTCAAACTCGATGTAGTTCTTGAAATTTTAATATTCTATTGAGTTACATATTACTCATTATTTCCATGTATTAATAAACATATGCACAGCTTTAACTTCAAATTTATTTTGTAATTACTGAGTTATATCAACATAATTCTACTATTTTTGTGCGTGTTGGCGAATACATCAACAACTTTTTCAAAATCTATATCAAATTCTTTTTCTATAGCTAACACACCAAGATCACTGAGTCTTTCATCTCCCATCATGTTTCGAGCATATGTTTTAATCAATTTCATTTCCGAAAAGCTTCGTTCACACGTGACAGATGATACAGGAAATCTAATCGTACCTTTGATCAAATCGACAGTTGAAGGACATGCTTGTTTCATTGGCTTCAATTCATTGAGTACATCAAACACAGTTGACAGTTTAGTATCTTTAATCATGGGTTTTATAACAGCAATTTCATTTTTTATAATGTTTTTTTTTCCAATGATAAATGATCAATTAATGGTTGTAATGTTTCAATATCCAAAAAATTTCCATTGTTTGGTGATAAAGATGTGATGCTCTTTGCTATTTGTAAGTTATGCCAAGAGAACCGTTCATTTAATTCGACCAGTATAGAATCAATTGTTGGAAGGTACATAGTCACTCGAAAGTTCTCTTCACTATTATTATAATCTCGATGTCCCGCTGATGTTGTAATAATACAGTCTTTAAAACGTGATGGAATTGATTTCTGACGCCTCGTTCGAACTAGTCCATTTATATCAATACCATTTTCATTCCCAAAAATTATAGCCTGTTGAAACAATTCTTTAAATGAACTTTCATTTCTCATAAGATTTAGTTGTTCACAGATTATTATGATGAGATTGTGTGTACTACCAAGATCAGTGCATACTCCTTTCGAATTAAAAATTAAAATGTAAATAAGCTTTTTTTCTACGGAAAAAGAATATACCTTTTAGCTGATCCGAAAGGATTTTAATTGGACCAAGCAGACGATGTAAAATAAACATTGCTATTATAAACAGTGAATCGTTCAAAACCACCAACAAACCTCTTGCATCCACTGCACGATTACCTCCATCATGTATCAAATCTCGTAATGCTTCAAGAACTGCTGAATAATTACTTTTAATTGAATCTATCGATTTAAATCTTGAATCCCATCGTGTATTTGCCCATTTTTTAATGTTGAAGTCGTATCTAATTTAAAAAGAACGGACAACACTACAGAATAGATGCCTATTTTAAATAAGTCTACTCAATCCCAGCAATTTCTGTGCATCACAGAAATATCGATTAGTAACTCCAGATGTTGTAAAATAATCATGAATTTTAGAAACGATTGAAAAGAATTCATCTATATATGGTACTACTGAACAAACATCACATATAACTAAATTAATGCGATGTGCCATATAGTGAATATATATAGCTCGTGGTATAAAGTTCTGTTGTAAGATCACATGCACTCCATTATGTTCTCCAGACATGACCGACGCTCTAAAGAAAAAATATAAAAGACGATAGAGCCTAAGTATATAAATCGTCTTCAATATACCCATCATAGCGTTGAGCTATACACATTGAGAAATGAATATTGTGTTTGATCAAGAAATCACTTATTTCTTTTGCTTGAGTAGCAGCATTAAATCGACAAAGACGAACAAATCCCATCAAGTATTCTTTAATCTGATTTTGATCATCAACTGCACGAAGACAAATAGATAATTGTTTATTGGGACTGACATCTGTTGCTTCATCAGCTAGTAACACGTATACATTTCCATTTAACTAAGAACATAACATATATTACAGAGATAAAGTGAAAGAAATACTAATATTAGAATTAGTTTATATTATATTATAGAATGTAAATTAACTTCATAGAATTTCTACAAAATTGAAACTAGAAGTTTTTTTCTTACTTTTTTAGCAATATTATCGCGTATTTGATTCGCCATAATACTTAACAATTCATTTTGAATTTGATGTGATAGATATGTTGCGTTGCCTGCACTTTCTTCCAACACAGCCTTAGCTAATGGATCAGTTTTAGCAGACCACTTCAATATTTCGATCAAATTACCACGATTGTTTGAACTAATACAAAAAAACACATCCGTTTATATATTCCAAATTAATAGAACAATACTCTGGTTCACTCACTCAGTACTTTCATCATGTCCACGAAGAGCTATTAATTGTTTAACACATAATAAAATTGCTGAACTGATCTTAATCAATTTACTACGATTATGAAGAATTTGCTCAGCTCTTGGTTTCTCAAGAACATTTATTACAGATGCATTAGATTTTTCACGTGATTTATATTCAGAAAAGTTTGCTAATGATGTTATGTGTGTTTGACTCTTTACGTGCTTGTGAAAACCTCTATCAGTTGCCAGAGCACGCTTCCAATTGTTAAAACCATAAGTCGTGAAAGCATCTCGTTGAATTCGTGTTGGCGTGCCGAATTGAGAAAAATGACGACAATAATAACAAAATACTGCATCTCGTTCTACCGAATACTCCAACCAATCTCGCTTGATATACCATCTTACTTGAAATGATCTATTTTCATTATCTGTTGGATGAACTGTTAAACGAGGTTGTACAGGTAAATCTTGGCTTCTCTGGCTAATATCAGCTGGACAACCTTTTGATGAAGATTTTGATGATGAGATTTCAGTATTTAAAGATGAATTTGTGACGCTAGACGTGCCAACAACTGTTAAACATTCGTTGGATAGAGATGAGGGAACTAAAACGTTCGTTGTGGTTGAAGAAGAAGATGGTGAAGAGCTTGATGAACATGGAGAAATTGAAGTGCCGTTAGGACTATTATTTTCATCTCGAGGTTTTTTACTAGATATAAAGAAATTATCAAGAGTAGCGTTACGTTTATTAGGATTTTTATTATCCATAACAATATGTATGATTCAAAAAAGAATTTTATTCATAATCAATACTGAAGCTCATGAGAATGAGTTTTTTATTTGTTCTCTCGTCAGTGTTCATCTGTCGTTATTAGTCGATTGTTATATCCAATAGAATTTAAATATGATATCCTCTTCTGCATCGTTTATAATTAATACCATAATACAATGACACAGAAGTGTCGCTCATGAAATATGAATAGAAGAAATGTCAAAAACAACATTTACTCATCGACAAAAAATAAACAAGCTGTTATACAAACTGTCAGTATGTGCATTTAAATTCTTAAAGGAAGAAAGCGTAACAGTCTGAAAGAGGCTCAAAATTTCCTAGGGGGAGCTCGGAAGTTTCTAGGGGGAGCGGAGCTCCCCGTAGCTCCCCCGGTGGTTCCGCCACTACTGAAAATGTGATTTTGATTTCGAGTGCTTCTTAGAATCAAGAAGCTCTTCAACTGAGGAACAAGCTTTCTTAAAACAGCTAACTAAGCATAGTGAGAAGCATTATGAATATTTTTTTACAGACTTAGAACTTGAATGAATGTCAGTCTGTAAACATCGAAAGTAAATGTTTTGAATAGGAAAACATCAAAGAGTCTTGATGTGAAAGCAATAAATGGTAAAAAAAAACATTTTTTTTAAATCGAAGATGAAAAGCTATCGAATGTATAAAGACGTTGATTTGTAGAAATACTGAAGAACAAATGTCGAAAGTCAACATTATTGATTTGTGACGTTAATTTTTGTCTAAGTTGATTACTGAGAAATTTAGTATTATGTCACATTCAGGTTACCACTTTTGACCCGGCCTGGCCTGCAGATCAGGCTAAAATTTCAAGATCCAGCCTGGCCTGCCCGCCTGGCCTTCTGTCTGACAAGTTGCAGGCCAGGCTAGCAGCTCACTTTTGACCAAGAAATAACTTACTTTGTTAGTATCATTTTATTCAGTAATTCTTTTTTTTTGGCATGTAAATCTTGTTTTTGATAATTATTATACCATTTCTAGTGTGTTCATTCCACTGGTACGGTGAAAAATAGAAGTGTCTCGTGTATCTTTAGTTCTTTTATTTTTCTAAATCAATTGTAGTATGTCGAGAGAATATTTTTCGCTAGATATTTCTGAGATTTTAATGATACACCTTCAAAAGTCGTTCAAGTTTTTATCATTTTTCCGTGCAAAAATAAATGAAAAACAAATATTATTTCGAATATCTTTGTTAATTCCAATATAATCTAAAATAGAAATCGTTTATACACCTTTTCTTTCACCTTTCAAAAATTCATTAGAGCAAATTCTGAAGAGGTTTTGGACTGATTTGTTAGAAACACCTGAAATGCGTTTAAAAAATTCTTAGTAGACAAGATAAAAAAAACTGTTAAGGATAAATACAAAAATACTACAACGCCATAAACGTGCACAGTGCGTTGACTATTTCTGTCCTTAAACAAGTTGCTTTTAGTAATGTGTCAAACTGTTTCAAAAAAATATAATCATATCTGTCTACGGTCTAACATCAAAATGAATATGACTTTCAAGGACAAAATAAACATTAGTTTTTTTAAACCGCATCCTCTAATCAAACACATGATTACGATTAGATTTACACATTTTTTTCAAATATTTGAGCCGCCTCAGACCTAAGAGCTTTGCTGCCTATGCTTTTATCAGTGTGCAAATATTCATTTCAATATTCCAATTTCTTTCGATATAAAAAATGAAATAAAACGAAAATATAAACATCTCAAGATAATTTACTTATTTTTGGATGATAACAGTTCACAAGTAACAGTTATTGTAGAACTACTTAGTGAACAAGACATATTCTATTAGTATAACGTTTAGTTTTGCATACTAATATCAGGTGAATGAATATATATTTCATTGACAAGATACATTTTTAGATTGATTAAGGATTTGAATTCCAATCAGCGTTACGGTTTCTACAAAGAATATTATCTAAACGGACTTGAATCTAGATGATAAATATGAAGAAGAACCATTATAATACCAAAAAAATATTCATTTTTAATGTAAATAAATTACTATTATCATCTATTTCTTCTTAATGAACATGTCAGATTTATAACATCAGTATGAAATTATTGTTGTTTTTTTTTCTATTATCACTTTGTTTGTATTTCGTCTTAGCTTGCATGAAATGAAGCGTATATTCCTTCTAGTCATTTTTCTTTTGCATATTTGGTTAAAATCTGTCAATAAAATAGAAGAATGATAAAATAAAATACTCTTCTTGATGTAAAGTACAGATTTGTGAATAGTTTATAAGATTGAAATCAGAAATCAAGAGGAAAAAAGTATTAGGCCGAAAATTCAAGAATATGAAGATTTTCTTTTGGTAACTAGATGTTCAAACCGATTGATTGATCAATAGTGACGTGACTGGATATTTTACAGCTTTTCTCATCTGTCGTTGTCGTCAACTATAAATGCCTCAGACTACAGTGTCAACTGAAAGTTTTCAATACTTTATTTCCAAATTCTTCTTGATTTCAAAAAGCTTTGAAATGAAAAATAAAGAAAGAAAATGAAGGTAGATAGCATACTGACAAGAAACTACGTAGATAAAAACATGCCTGAAAACTGATCCTGGGTGTAGAAAATTTTCAAAAATCGAACATTTATTTTCATGTTGCGTCAGTGATAATCTCAAATTTTTCCGAAAAACTGCTGACACAGCCAATCAGCTTACGTCTCTACTGCCGAAACAATTCCTACCTCATCAGCCACGATTTCATTTAAATCATACTTGGAACCAGACCAGCATACCAGTCAGTTTGCTGGTGGTTTTTCCGAGACTTTTCATTAATTTTTATACCATTAAAACTAGTCGAATTTGCTCGTTTTTATCGATTTTCATGACTTTAACGATTAAGAGATATGGACCTGAGAGTGTTCGACTGACAAACTTCTAGTTGCCATCAAATTTCCACTTGTAAATATTGAGCTCTTTTTAGTGTACTCAAAAAGTGAGTACACTACTAAAATCGGTCTGTGTGTCCGTCCGTCCGTCCATCCGGCCGTTAACACGATAACTTTCGAAAGTAGAGTCAGATTGCGATGAAATTTTCTACACAGCTTAGTCTTGACAATATCTCGGTCGAGTTCAAAGATGAGAAGGATTCGTCAAGAAATGGCTGAGTCATCGAAAAAATTGTGATTTTTGACCAGACCATCCCTGAGGGGGGGGGGTACGGCAATTTTTCGAAAACAATTTTTTGCTCATAATTATTCACAAAATACATAAATCGACTCAGTTTTTAACGCTGATTCTGAATCTGATATTAGTTTTGAACCGAATCATAGTTTTGTGTACTCAAAAAGTGAGTACATTATATAATAGTCAGTGTGTCCGTCCGTCCGGTTGGCTGTTTACATGATAACTTTTGACAGCAGAGTCAGATTGCGATGAAACTTTCTACACAGCTTAATCTTCACAATATCTCGGTCGAGTTCGAAAATGAGAAGGACCGGCCGAGCCGTTCCTGAGTTATTGCAAAAATACCCATTTTTCCCTACAGCTTTCTGTGGAAAAATGGACCCATCGCGACTTTCGTAAAAGACTTTTCCTATCATACTCAATTAAAACCCCAACTATTGTATACCATTCGATAGAGAATTTCAAGAACTACAAAATGATATATAAAACATAAAGAAACAAGAAGGTTGACTTACCAATGACAAGGACAATTAAAGAGAACTCGGTTATATTTTGGTCCACGATCTAATTGATCCACAAATAGAGCTTTATCTTCCGGTCACACTGACGATACTTCGAGATTTTCAGATATGGAGAACTCGAATGTGTACTGCACTTCCATCGAAATACTATTAGTTGTGCAGTGACCAATAGAAATGAAGTTATAGGAAAAACGACTTTCTTAGGGTAAACCAAGGGAAAAAGTTCAGACTTGAGCTGTATTCGGTCCCGTGTCCTATTGGTTTGGCAACGCGCAATAGAAATCAACATTTTAAATGGTAGATTTCACAGTATAATTTTGATATTCAGACAGTCTAGGATGATTGATTTGTATGATTCACTTTTTGAAGTACACATAACTCTCGGATTTAAATCCGAAGTTTCCGCATTTATTATTCTAATTAGATAAATCGTTCTTTTTTTGCATGTGAACCTGCATCTGAAAGATATTAATGATTTCGATTTCTTTGTATTAGAATAAATATCTCATTAATATTTATCATTGTATTTTCATTCGCAGTTGCAGATATTTTTCTATTTCTAAATATATCATTTGGCTTATTCTAACTCGAAACAAGAAAATCTAAGTCCGAGTATTCAGTATCAATTGAAAAAATCGAGACTAAAGAGTGCTTTGATGTAAATTTCGAAAAAGAAGTTGTAAATTTCACTGTACATTTGATCTAATAATCTACATAAGGTTCTGTAGCAAGACCGACCAGAAGGCTTCGTGTAATGTCGATATTTAAAATACACAGTGCAGATTGGGATGGTGAAGAGCATTCATCGGTAACAGAAACCGTCATAGAACACTTCTTCCGTCCTGTCTTGCTCTAATCGATTCGCTGTACTACAAAAAACGTTTTCAATGAGAGAATCATTGGTATCTTTCTTAATTTTTGTATTGATTTGATCGTTTTGATCAGAACAAAACGACAAAGCAAGAAGGAGTAGAAAAAGAAAGACATAATCTTTTATCATCAGCGAAAGGAGTTTAAATGAGATGAATACAAGAAACAAGAAAATATCAATGATAAAGAAGTATTTCATTCAACGGGGTCAAGTTTTTCTTTATCATCGATCAGTTTATTGCATCTGAACGAAGTTGTTCTTCATGATTGTTTTCGTATTAAGCTGATTTTTTAAATAGCCATTTCCATTTCCATAAGATCCCTAATTAACATAACCTCGATTTCTCCTATAATAAGCATCATCAGAATAATTTCTTTCAAAGATTTTCCACATCAGAAAACAAAGAATTTTGTTAAAGTTATTTTGCCTCGATAACTTGAATTGAAGACAGGTCGTTGTCCATCAATGCTGTGTGAACCATCATAATGATCTGTACCACCGAAATGAAACACAAGGTTATTGAAAAGAAAAATAATGAATACAAACGTGATTCTCTTCATTGTTGATTATTATTTGGAGATCCTCGATAAGAATTTCTTAACCCATTTCAATGATTATTGGTTGGATTTGATCGAATATGTTGTTATTGATCATCAAATGGATGTAAATTTGTCAGAACAATATTCAATGAATTATGCTCTAATAAAAAAAAATGCTAATACTAAAATCATCAATGCAGAGCGCGGTTTACTTTATCATAATTCTTCGTTGTTTGTTGTTCATTGGAATTCGATAATGTTTTCTAAAATAAAACAAACAATAGATTGTTTTTAATTCGAATTTCGAATGAAACTGAACATATCGTGAATGTTGATTTTTGATCGTGTGTTACATATTTAGATGAATGTTTGTTGATTCACTGAAAAAAAAAAATGGTACCATACCGAACCAAAAAAGGTACTTTGAACGAAAAAAGGGTTTCGTACATCGTACGGAACCTTAAAAGGTTTCGAATTCGTTGCAATTCTCTGAACCATTTTAGGTTCGGCACAGACCACTTCGAAAAACTTGAAAAAGTGTCCTGAGTCAATGACAATCAATTTTAGTCACCGAAAGTTTTGTACGAAACCTTTTGAGAGTTTCGTATTGTCTTCCTAAATGGTTCCATAATCATACAAATTTTTTGCAGCGTACCGAACCATTTAGGAAGACAATACGAAACCCTCAAAAGGTTTCGTACAAAACTTTCGGTGACTAAAATTGATTGTCATTGACTCAGGACACTTTTTCAAGTTTTTAGAAGTGGTGTGTACCGAACCTAAAATGGTTCAGAGAATTGCAACGAATTCGAAACCTTTTTAGGTTCTGTACGATGTACGAAACCCTTTTTTCGTTCAAAGTACCTTTTTTGGTTCGGTATCGTACCATTTTTTTTCAGTGTATAATACTAGATCAGTTGTAAGATAATGCTTAAGTTGTTCGAATGCTTTAACTTCTTCATTTGTTAATGTAATAATAGTTTTTTGTCCTTTTTTTTGTTGAGTTCTTGTAGTTGGAACAAATTTTCTACGTGGTTCGGGGATTTAAGAAAAATTTGGTATAAATTTTCGATAATATTCAGCAGCTTTAACGAATTTGCAAGCTTCATCTGGAGTTTGTGGTAATCTTGTATTTAATAAACCATTAATATTTTGAGGAATTGGACGAATTTCACCATTTTTTATATTATGTCCAAGATAATCTGTTTGTGTTCGAGCAATTTCACATTTCTGGGGATTAAGACGAAATCGTGCATTTTTTAATATTGTACAAATTTCATTAAGATATAATAAACGTTCTTCAAATGTTTTCGAGTATATAATTACATCATCAATGTAAGCTAATGCATATTTCCATCGTGCGGGCCCTAATATGTGATTAATTACACGTTGAAAAGTTGCGGGTCCGTTGGTAATTCCTTGTGGAAGTACAGTAGATTGATAATGATTGTCACGAGTTGAAAATGCAGTTTTAGGACGGTCCTCTTTAGATAGAGGTACCTGAAAATAACCAGATTTAAAATCAAATTTTGTATAATATGTTGCATCAGATAATTGATCAAAAATTTCGTCGATTCGAGGTAATGGAAATGCATCTTTAATTGTAATAGCATTTAGACGTCGATAATCAATGCAAAATCGCATAGCTTTGTCTTTTTTCTTAACAAGAACAATAGGAGAAGACCATGGAGAAATTGATTCTTCAATTTGACCACGTTCTAATAATTTTTGTGTTTCTTGAAATTTACGTTCTTGATCTTTATATGAAGCGGGATATTGTTTCGAATAAGTAGGTGGATGATCACCAGTTTTAATTGCAGATTGTGGAGGTATATTAATAATTGATGGTGTAGGATCAAATAATATTTTATTTCGTCATAATATATCTTGAATAGCTAATTGATGTTTTCGATTTTCGATATGTTTAGTTGATTCGAGTATTTGTTTTCGAATCTGTTCGGAATAACGTTCTGCTCGTAAATGTTTTTGTAAATCATTTCCAGATAAAAAATATTCATGACATCGATGACAATGTGTATCTAATTTTATTTGATTCGAGTTGTCGTTACCACCTGAGACAGCTCTGCGTTTTAATTGTTTATGATGGTGGCATGAAAGTTGCTGATTTTCATTTAAAAAAGAATTATGTTCTGTTGGAATTTGTGTTGTAGCATATATTGTAGAAGTTGAATGACTAGAAAGAGATCCGATTCGTGTATTTTTCGGTAACGTTTGTGGTTGATTTTGTGCATTAATTAATAACACTTTGGCTTGATTTTTATTAATATTTAATAATGTATGCGGAATGAAAATAAATTTTGATGTATAACGTTCATATGGTTCAAATATAAGATTATTAGCATTAGTAACTTGACATGTAATATCAACTAATTTTTGTGAATATGGTGGAAGAGTAATTTGTTGAACTAATAATGCTGGATAATTAATGCATGTTGGTTCCACATATGGAATTAAAATTAATTGATCATGTTGGTTAGGTATAGTTAATTGTTTCTGGTCACCATAAAGGTGAACATGATTCGAATTAATCCAATCACTTCCTAATACTGTTGATGTAATTAAATTTGTTGCAACATGAGCAACGACTTAAGTTGTTATTGATTTAATTTTTATTTCTAATTTAATTTGACCGATAATATTAAGTGGTGTTGAATTTGCTGTTTGACATATATAATTGTTATAAATAAAATTTTTGTGATGAATAGTTTTAAGAAAATTTAAATGAATTATTGAGATTGCGGAACCGGTATCAATAATTGCTTCCGTTGGTTGATCATCAACACGAATCTTAATGTAAACTGGAGATGATGTTATTGTTGATGGCTTCATAAATTTACTGGGAACACCGCCATCATGTGACCCAGCTATTGAAAATTTTGAGGCATTGTACAATTTCGGACATGATGGTTTTGACCACAATTAAAACATCCGGTTGTACGTTTATGGAAACAATCGATTGTTTGATGATTTGTTCGACCACAAATTTTGCAATTATTAAATTGTTGTTGGGATGTAAATTGAGTATTAATATGTTTTTTATTAAATGTTTTTTGTTGTGAATTAATTTGTATTGGTGTTCTAGATATAAATACTGACCGATGTTCAGGTTGATGAATCGAGTTCTGTTGAAAGACAGAGCTCTGGCTAGATAAAGGATATGAATAATCATTTCTTTTTTTATAATTATTATATTGCTTCGGTTGATTAATCATAGCTGTAAATGAAGGAACTTGCTGATAATTAATATTAATATTATGTTGTTTATTTTCGATTGATAATTGATTAGATTTTTCAAATGTATCATACAAGTCTTGTTCGATTTTGGCATATTTTAAAAATTCATTTAATACGTCCATACAGGATTCAGGTCGAGAAATTTCTTTTTTGAAATCAGGATTAATTCCACTCATCAAATGTCGAATGATAATTGAGTCAGACATATTGGAATCAATTTCACGACATAGATTAATAACATCATCAATATATGATGTTACTGGTTCGTCAGGTAATTGAGTTCGTTTTTGTAATTTATTAAATTTTTTATGAATCATTGTTGTAGAGAAATAACGATTTCGAAATGCAATTTCGAAATCTGACCATTTTTTAAAATTATGTTCATTATTATCGAACCATAATCCTGCTGACTGAGTTAATTTACCACGTACGATTTCAAGAATTTCATGATTTTCTGATTCATCATTAGCTTTTGTAATATTTTTAATACTTCTTAAAAATCGTTCGACATCCTCAGAAGGATGTCCAGAAAAATTTGGTAAATCGTCAAATCAAGCTTTTCGAGCTTTTGCTAATAATGTTGAATCTACCATTTTATTTAAATTGAAATTTGATAATGAATTTATGCAAGTATTATTTTGTGATATTTTACGAGATGAATAATTAGTAACAATGGTGTGCGGTAATAGTTGTTTATTATTTTTCTTAACTTGAAATCTTGTTCCGGTAGCCGTTATGAATAGATTTTAATTATAATGATTTATATCACAATAAATGAGCAATTAAATAAATCAATTAAATGCAATGAATAAAAATTAGTGTGTGAATGAGAGTATGATCAAAATCTCTGTTGAGAATTGTTTTAAGTGATGAAATATATTGGATTTATTTTATTTTTACTTTCCCTTTCAGTTGATTTAAGATTGAGTGTCCGAAAAATTTATCTTTTTTTTTTTTTTTTGTTTTATTAAATTGAAAATTCAAAAGAGACGGTTTACTTAAAAGTATTCCTTATGACAAACATATAGTAGTATGAAACAAAAGGATGGTCTCACCTATTGATGAAATATAATAGTCAGGTATTGAATCAATGACAAAATATAAAATTTGTTCGAGTCTTTTGTTTATAAGACTCTGAAAAATTTCAAATCTCTTTATTGAGAGATTTTGCTACGAAATATAATTATATATTACGAGTCTCAATGCAATTGAGGCTCTGAGAAATTAAAATCTTGAAAAATAACCACCAATTTATTGGAATGCAATGATGATGTTGTTTTTTTTTTATATTACATATATATGTTGTTGTTTTCCAGGATCGCTAATTGTTACGGTTTCTTTCTTTCCTTTCTGTCCTAGATATATATATGTATGTATATATGATTTCACGTCTGTCCTTGATGTACGTGGACAGCTTTATTATATAATCAAAGAAACAATTCTGAATACATATACGATATAGATGATATATATATATATGAAAAACGAGAAAACAAAAGAACCAATTAAAGAATCAAAGAGATGAAAGAGAATAGAGGTTAACAATAAATAGTGAATATGTATACATGCGACATCACTGTAACACCAATAAATAATCCCTTTTACTCCCCACCAAACGCTCAGCATAATATTCTTTGGGTGAAGTTCATTGTTGGGCGTTGCTACACCTCTTTGTCCAGCCCCCAGCCACTGCCGCTTGCGCGTATGGTTAACATGCAACACCCACTTTCCATTACCAGTAATAAGATTGTGAAGCCATTGGTAGTTGCGATGAGACGGCATTAATTCCATACAAGCGTCAACCCTGAGTTGGAGCTGACGCGGTGACAACTCATGTGGTATCCAAACACCATATTTACATGTTTTGCCTAATTCTTTCAGGTGTGTTTCCACTGTAGCATGAATGCATCCAAGTCGCTCTGCTAAACACCGTGTAGTCAGTCTAGGATCTTCTTCTATGATCTGCTTCAAAACATCCAAATCCACATCTAGTGATCTTCTGGAACGAGGTAAATCGTCGAGTTGTAAATTATCGTTCTTGAACCGATTGAACCAATGTTGCGCTGTAAGAATGCAGAGTACATTCTTGCCCATCGTACTGCATATGTTGCTCGTTGCTTCCGTTGCTTTGTGACCCAAACGAAATTCATGAAGCAACAGCACCCGGAGGTCTCTATGAAATATCTTCAATTCTAATTCGAGATCAACGTCCATATCTATGATTATGTTATTGTTCGAAAGAAATTCGTAGCCCCTTTATATACCTTCAGTATGGAAACTTCTAGAACTTTCTTGACTGTTCTAGGAAAATTAAAGAAAAAACGCAAAAAACTTTCTGGCCAACCCAATAGTTTTGTGTTACTATTCATAGCTTGTTACATAATAGCATGTAGTTATCCTACTTCATATGTGATTTAAGGTCGGAATAAATCATAAGGCAACAATGCTTTTTAATCAATAAACAAAAATATTAACGAAATCATAAAACTTTTACAGATTAAGTTAAAAAGATCAGTTTTATTATTGATGACAATGATATTTATTGATCATACCACTAAAAACAAAACTAATACCTATGAAAGATTGTATTCAATCTATTCACATGTTTAAAAAGAACAGGTATTAAATAGATGAATATCTATGTAAAACGATTGGTATAAATTCTATTTTGTTCAATATAGTGAATATCTATGTATGTATTGATCGGATATCTCTTTTCTAATAGATGAATATTTTGCTCAAAAATAGTTTAATTAATATAATTTTCACCTTATTTCTCTACTATATGAGATAGATGATCTACTAAAATAAGATCAATTCGACTAGTGAGACTTGTTAATTAAAAAATATATGAACAGAATAGTTATTTTGAACATATATTCATTTTATTTATTTTCTCCTGAAAATAATTTTAAATATATAAATAAATAAATATTGTTTTGATAGATTATCCAATAATCATTTGACAATGATTATTTTCAAATAATGATGATGAAAAACAAATCATTGAATGAAGAGCAAAATGAAAACAAAAAAAAACAACATGTTGAGTATTTGATGAAATTTGATAATATTGAATTTTCATTGAAACTATAATGAAAAGATTTTAAACCAATAGAAATAGATCTTATGAAAATAAATCAGTGAAGTATTGAAACATAGTCAACATCACATTCTGTTCTAATAAATAGAAAATTAATATAAGTATTCAAGCTTCTTATTTTCTTTGTATTTTGTTGATCAACTGCTATGAGACATCATTTAATAAACAATCGACGAAAAATTAAAGCTCATTGATTTATTTCATTATATGATAAACATTGTTTAACAATTCCCGATATCTATGTCATTTTTATCGAACTGATCATAAGTTCTTAACAATTTCAAATGGATAGGTTAACCTAAAAAAATGATTTAATTCACGTTGATATCATGTTTGTTTAATCAAGTTCTCTTATAAACATAGAATTATTTTCTTTATTTCATTAAAATCATTATCTATCAACTCGAGACTCTTGATTAACGAGAATTGATTACATTGATTTTTAAGATAAATATCTGATAGGTCAAAAGCTAGAACAATAATCTCTATCTTAAATAACATTCATATATTTATAATGATTCAACTTTGAACAATTATCAACAAAATAAACTAGTAAACATTCATCTATTTTACATTTTACTATAGAAATCCTATACATTTCAAAAAAGATAATCAATTAGAGCAAGTTGAACAACTCGTAGACGAAAACAGATGTTATCAAACACATTTTGCGTCACATACAAGATAATTAGATCATATTTGAACTTTTCGAATATGTTATCGATTAATAAAATAGTTCTATTTTAAAATATATAGACAAAATGTTTCTATGTTGTATAACTTATTCAACAATGAGAAGAGTTTTCTAGGGGTTAAATATATCACTTAATTAGCTGTAAACAGCGCAAAAATAATTCTCAACAGTGAATACTCTATTATTCGATATAGAAATTGAGAAAATCAATTAAAAAAGCAACTATTCCGAAATAGTTTGATGTGCCTTGAACTTAACAAGAAAGTAATGAAAACTCTTGTCATTTTATCTATTCACCTTCGTGAATTCTTCAACTTGTCATAATTGACTTTGTATTTAGAAATACAAGAAGATTTTTTTGTTTGTTTTGTTCGATAAAAACCAAAATAATGATGATATATTATCTACAAATCTTATTTAATTGAAAATATTAAAATTCGAATAAGAAAAAAGAAAAAAGAAAAAAGAAAAACTCCAGTTCCTCAAAGAATGGATTGAAAATTTTCGGACAGTTGCATCATGTTGTTGTAGATGAATATAATTTCTTCTTCTTATTTGATCGATCTCTATTGGCTGATATTGATTTAGCTAAATTGGCTTCAAGTCTTGAACGCATTAAACGATAAATAAGTGCTGATTTTGTTAAAGGTTCAATAGAATCTTGTTGAGAAGAATAATCATCATATTCCCATGTATGTGTTCTATTAACTATTTCTTTTATAATTAAAGGTTTTTCAGGTAATAAACTTTGACCACGTAATGTTGAGGAATATGAACGATTTTTATTTAATGTTTGACTATTTCCATTTATATTTGATGATGGACTATCAGCACGATTTGTTGTTATTGACGATGCTTCGGATGAATTAGCAGATGAACAATTTGATGATTTTTCAATTAGATTAGTTTTTTCGCTTTCATTTTCTTTCTCTTTCTCTTTTTCTTTCTGTTGTTGTTGTTGTTGTTGTCGTTGTTTAAGCCATGTACCTGTTATAAAAAAGAAAAAAAGAAATCTAATAAAAGAAAATAAAAAAAAAACAAAGAAAACCAAACCAAGTGTTTTTGTATCAACAACAGTAAGTTGTCTTCCAGTAATAAGCCAATTGTTATCTTTCTGATAAGAAGAAGTTGATGCAACTGCCCCGTATCCCTATGTTTGAATTGTTTGAATATGTTTAGTAGGTGTTGAAGATTTGGAAACAAGTACAAGAGCTTTAGGTCCTCCAATAGCTAAACGATCTTTTTGTGTTCGATCTAAATTTTTCCATTCTTCAGCAATAACAGTTGCTGGTTTTAAGATTTCAAAATTCGTTTTATATCTTTGAATTGTTTGATATCTCATAACCATTGTTTCATTTGATGAAGGATTAACTGTTGGAAATGAATGATTTGTTGTTGTTAATGATGATAATATGGAATCTGATGGACGATTTACTTTTTGACGTTCAACATTTGTACGATTTATATTTGATACAACATATTTTTGTGTTATACTTATTTGTTGTTGTTGTTGTTGTTGTTGTTCATTTGTTTTTGAAATAGTTTTTGGACTATTTGGTGGAGAATTATTTGTATTTGTTTTGGTTGATGGTACTATTGGAGGAGCTGTAATCGGTACAAGTTTTCGTGTATTTGGTGAAGATGATGCTGCTCGTCTTTGTTCAATATAAGGTAATGAACCTTTTCTTTCTAATTCATTATAAATACATTTAAATCCTTTTAAAGATTTTAATGGAAATATTTTTTGACTATGACGAATTTTTTCAAAACATTCAATTGATAATACTTTTAACAAG